TACTGCATACTACATGATGAAGATGGCTTAAAGTTGAACCGAAGCGTTTAACTTTCTTATGTATTATTACTTATTATTTTATCAAATATAACTGCACACTGCCGTCTGCGTTAGACTCTTTTTTATTCTAATTTTGAATTTAATTTAATATTTATAAGAATACATATTTATATGATATTTAATCAAATATTATTAAAGTTCTTATTCTTATCTATATTATTACGAATATTCGAATGGAGAATTTATTTAATAATGCAAGTTTTTATAATCAATACATTAAATAAAAAAATCTACATTTAAATAATAACTTAAACAATTTCTTTTTTGGACACAAATAATTAACAGATTTAATATCAATCTTTTTGTATAATAATTTAAATTTAAAATATAAAATATTATTATTTAAAATATTAACAAATTTCGAGATAGATAATTCAACAATAGATGAATACATATTTCTGCATTAATAAAATAATAATCGATTGCAATAAGAAATGTGGATTTGGATTAAAACGGCGATACATTCGCGCGGCTTCTTCAGAGACAAATTTGTCGAAGAAATTTGAGTAAAATTGAAAATATTAACTACATTGAGAAAAAAAATTTACTAAATTTTGAAAAATATTTCTTTGAATAGTCTTAGCGAAATATTTACTAAATGTAAATATATATTTATTAGATGCAAGAACCATTAGTTTGATTTAACTATATTCTTTATTTATCTAAATATTTATTTATCGTAAATTAAATAAATAAAAAAATACACTAAAACTATTCAAAGAAATATTTATAAAAATTTAATAAATTTCTTCTCAGTGTAATATATTTATTGCTGAATTACAAGCGATTAGCTATGAACGAAAAAGACTGTTTATCATTGCCACTTGTTGATTATCTGTAGAATTTTTTCGAATTCATGCTAAATGCATTGTAATTTGCACTGCTAATTTATTCTTCCTAAACCGATCAGTTGATCCATAAATGCTCAAAATTATAGTGTGAATGCAATATTTATGGGGGTTTATGCAATAAATAGCAGATGTCTAAAATTAACGCATGTTTCTTGAACGCGACACATTAGTCGGCGTCTCGCGCATACATTATTTGCTCGTTAGCGGCAATTCGCGCGAGCAGGTTTTTTGTTCAAATAAAAATATGTTACTCACTGATAAAGTTGAAATGTCTTTGGGCTGGCATTTATGGAGGCGGCTACGGGACCGATTGTAGCCACTGCTATTTCCAGAACTTTTTCGTCCCGCGCCGGTAGAATTGCCCATGAAGTTATATTGACAACACTCTGGTCCTTTTCAAATCTGCATTCCCCTTGCTAGAATAATTTGAATTAATTATTATATTATTACGTACATCTGATCTCAGATGATGTCGATAGAACCAAATAATTTCAATGAATATATTTTCAAATTTGACAATTACTGTACGCAGGGTCTAAAAAGTCATTTTAAAGCTTAGAAAGTCTACTTTAAAACATTTTTTAATTCTTATGCGTTGATTTTTATGCGTTAAGTTACAACGCTTCAAAATAAAACAAAAATATTGAAAAATATCAATTTTTAATTTTATGCAATTTAGCATCAAAATATAGAAATAAAACTAAAAAATTTATAACTCTATTTTTTCTTTAAGTTTATTACAGTTTTTTAAGATTAAATTTTTCGGGAAATTTGGGGGGATTATTAATATTTCAGATTGATTGCGTTGAAAGTCCGACAACTGTATCGGCACGCAATTATAATTCTGAAATTAATTCATTTAAATAAATATACATAATAATTCAACATCTTAACATTCAGATCGTAGTGGCGCTTCGTATTTAAAGTAATGTATCTATTTTTTCTCTTTAAAATATTTTTTTGGAAACTTCTTTATTGTTTTTTGCATAATTATTTAAATTTTTCGTAAGATACAAGAAAATTGCAAGCGACAGTAGTTTTGGCATGTGCGTAAATATATAATATATTTATATATACATATGCATATAGTATATATATATTAATAATAAAAATATATTATATTATAGTAACTTAATGTAATTTAACTACTTTTAATAAAGTTTTATTTTGATGTTACAACATCAAACATTTAAAAAATAAACTTTTGTTTTCAAAGTTTATAGTTAAGATTCACTTTATCATAACTTACTATTGGAAATTATCAAGGTTATTATTGAAGTAGCTATTTCCGTTGATATTGCTAACATAAACTAATTATTATAAAAATACAACAAAGTTATCTAATTTCCGAGTATATGTAAACATGATTGAGATTTGTAAAAAGAGATATGATGGGACAAAAAATATAGATAACTTTCGAGGAAAACTAGGACAGTCTTACATCAGTTCCATTTAGCAACTGAATGAGTTTCATTCTTGATCAAAGTAGTAAACATGCACAGAGAATACCAAAGTGTCAACAGAATAATATTGCTTATACATAATTCGAAGAAATGAATCTAATAGGAAAAGATTGATAATAAAAATTCGAGAGAATTTTGTATATTAATGTTTGCTGACACTATTAAATTGGAGCATATCAGTCATACACGCCTGGTTGCATCATCTGAACTTCGTATTCATAACATCGTAGTTTTAAATTAAGTCAACCAGATAAACGCGTTTATTTTTTATTACGAGTAAGAGTAATAGCTGCACACTTTCTTAAAATTCTATGACATATTTGGCTCTTGCACTGTTCACTCGTATAAAGTAAAGTATATTTATTATTAATAGAGGGGCTTGGAGAGCCATCGTCACGGAGCCATTCATATTATGGAAGTTTATCGCATTAACGTGACTGGCATAATTCAGATTCTCCTAGCCGAAATCTTCCACAAATTTTCTGACATTTCTGACTGGTGGACATCCACGAAATAATGAAAGAAACCTTGACGTTTACCTCTTTATTGCGATAATTAAATTCGCACTGTCAGCACCTTCGCTCGTACTCGCTAATAATGCATTATTATGTATTATGGTCACAGTAAAAATCCCGAAAATCAAGTTTCTCAATTCGTTATTATTATAATTTACAGAGATGTTATTCTATACATTTTTACGACTGATTACCGATAAAAAAATTTACGTGATTGTTAGTAAAGATTTTATTAAAAATAAGAATGCAGATATTCTCTAAGAATCCTCTTTAAACTTCAAGGTTTAAACTTTTAAAAGACGCCGAACATTTTGTAATGCTCTACAAATGTGAAAGCGATTCGAGTGTTGCATTTTATAAACGGATGTCTCGACGAAATATCGTGTATGTCGTATGCCCGACAGTTGGAAAATGCGTACCTCGGCGTCGTAGG